CCACTGCTGTATGTAGGGGAGAGAGGAACAAGCTCTCTTGTGGTTATAAGAATGAAACAATCCATGTACTGCTGACAGGGGTGGTTACAATGATCAGCTTTTATTTATTTTTGTAAACCCTTAATCCCAAAAGAAAAAAAAAAAAAAAAAACTGTTTGCTGTAACTCCCTAAAAATTATTAGCTGGAGTTTGGCTTCAATGTGTTAGTGTATGTAAATCTGCTAGTACATCTAACACTCCCCTCCTCCCCAGACTGAAAATGCTGATGTCCAAAGTTGCCCCTGTGCTCCTTTATCAAGAGTGGAGGCACTCTAACAGGGGCAGACTGACAACTCATGGGGCCCCCGAGCAATAGGGGATCATGGGGCCCCTGTGTCCTTGCCCACACTCAAAGCACATCCAAAAAAGCCTATAAAAAAAAAAAAAAAAAAAAAAAAAAAAAAAAAAAAAAAAAAAAAAAGGTACAAGGGGCATTATATGGGGCCCCCTACTGACCCCGGGCCCTCGGGCAGTGCCCGAGTGCTCGAATAGGCAGTCCACCTCTGCACTCTAATACAGGTGGTGTGTTGCTGGCCAGATCACTAGGTGAAAACAGAACGAAAAAAAGACTAAAAAGGAAAACTAATGCAACCGCTACATCTACTGATTGGTAAGCTACAATATATTACATTTTTGGGTTTGAGTTTGGGTTTAATACTGCTTTAATGAGAGGACCTTGTGCTGACTTCAATCATCCAATCATGTGCGAGTAAAAATATATATATTTTTTTTTTTTCCTTGCACATGATTGGGTATTCCTTGCTTAGTGAATTTTTACTTTGTTTACCTAATTCACCAAAATAAGTAAAAATTCACTTTGCTTTACTCCTTTAGTACATCAGGGTCACTGTCAGGATTTCAAACCCTTCCCCACGCTGTTAAAAATGTGATTATGTCTGTGTTACCATTAGTAAGATTTCCTCTTACCCCCTTTCTCCAACGGACAGCTATAAAAAGCTGATAGAGATTCTAAAGCACAACATACATGTTTCTGGTTAGCAGACTTAGTGCTATGTATCCTAAAATAAATGCCTATGTCCATAAAACTTCCCCAAATATATACAATTTCAAAACCGCATAGGCAGTGACCAAAACTCATATTTCACTCATACCGAAAGTCTATAGTGGGTAATAGCTAATAAAACTTTAGCTGTCGTCAGTTTAGGCCTGGTTCACACATATGTTGCAATTGATACATTTTGTGCTTTTGAACATGTTTTTGATGTGTTTTGCATTTTTCAGTTTTTTTGCCAATAGTAAAGTATTGAGCATGAGTTTGATGCAGCTTTCCACTCCCTTGTGCTCAAAAGTCACATCAAAGTAGTGACGGAACCTTTTCAAAGTTGCTGCGACTTTGAAATGTTCCTGCACTACTTTAGCCTCCCTGGCGATATGATTATTTCAGATTTTTGGTGCTGAAAGCGGTACCATTTTTTTGCATGGAAATATGTCATTTTTTTATTGTAGGCCTGTAATTTAGGAATAACTCACTGAAATCTGTCCAAACAAAAGTCTAGTAAACATCCCGGGTATGATAAAATTTGAAACACGAAATCATAAATTATAATTTAATAAATAATCATAAAAAATAATAATATAATAATAATAATTTTAATTCAATAATATAATCAAACCAAAAACACAAATTTGAAATATAGCGCCAAGTTCGCACATCGCTGAACAAAGTCGCAAAATCGTTTTCAGTGTCTGATGATGAATTTCCCCACGAATCATTATCACTCAATTCTGCAAGTGGTTCTGATTTACTATCGCTGTTCTCTAGCTGGTCTAAAACTGCTTTTGACCTAAAGGGACGCTTTTTGGACGCCGTGGACTTTTCTGTTTCCAGGCAGAAAGAACAGTAAAAATGCAGGTAGGGTGCCGGACAAAGCACTCGGGACAAAATGTATGTGAAATGGTTTGATACAGTAATGTTTTACTATGTAATAATCGTTTTTAAAAAAAAATCTCATTTTTTTAAATTTTCAAATTTGCCGTACGTCCCGACGTCACAGGGACCGGAACACGGAAGCTGGATGCCGGCATCGGCCAGAGGAGGTGGCCGGGGACGCTGCAGGGGACACATCGCGGGAGCGAAGGACAAGGTAAGCTCTGCAGGGAATCCCTGAGCAACGCCGCGTGGTAAGCCCGAGTGTAGCTCGGGGTTACCACTTTTGGTACTGAAACTTTACCCCAAGCTACACACGGGAATACCGCCAGGGAGGTAAATGCGACTTTATACTCTCTGGCACTCAAAGTCGCATCAAATTTGCATCAAAGTAGTGCAGGAACCTTTTCAAAGTTTCTGAGACCTTGAAAAGGTTCCTGCACTACTTTGATGCGACTTTAGTGTCATAGAGTGTACAGTTACATCAAAGTTAAATCAAAGTTGCACTCCATACTTTCCTACTGGCCAAAAAAAAACTTTAAAAAAAAAACGTACGTTTTTGGTGTAGTTCCT